TTACCTTGACTTCCAGAAAGCTTTTGATAAAGTTCCTCATTAAAGGCTCCTAAGTAAGCTCAAAAATCATGGGATAAAAGGACAAGTCCTTTTATGGATCAAAAACTGGCTAATTAATAGAAAACAGAGAGTGAGTATAAATGGGCAATTTTCTCAGTGGAGGGTGGTAAGCAGTGGGGTACCGCAGGGATCAGTACTTGGTCCACTGCTTTTTAAATAAGTAAGCTCAAAAATCATGGGATAAAAGGACAAGTCCTTTTGTGGATCGAAAACTGGCTAATTCATAGGAAATAGAGAGTGAGTATAAATGGGCAATTTTCTCAGTGGAGGGTGGTAAGCAGTGGGGTACCGCAGGGATCAGTACTTGGTCCACTGCTTTTTAACTTGTTCATTAATGATTTGGAGTTGGGTGTAAGCAGTGAAGTGGCTAAATTTGCGGATGATACGAAGTTGTTCAGGGTGGTGAAAACCAGTGAGGATTGTGAGGTACTCCAAAGGGATCTGTCAAGGATGGGCAAGTGGGTGTCAACATGGCAAATGGGGTTCAATGTGGCCAAGTGCAAGGTGATGCACATTGGAGTAAAAAATCTTACATATAAATACACGTTAATGGGGTCTGAACTGGCAGAGACTGATCAAGAGAGAGATCTTGGAGTTGTAGTAGATAACTCATTGAAAATGTCGAGACAGTGTGTGACTGCAATAAAAAAAGGCCAATGCTATGTTGAGGATTATTAGGAAGGGTATTGAAAACAGATCAGCCAATATCATAATGCCCTATATAAATCAATGGTGCGACCTCATTTGGAATACTGTGTGCAGTTCTGGTCACCACACCTTTAAAAGTATTTTATAGCTTTAGAAAAAGAGCAGAAAAGGGCAACTCGAATGATAAAAGGGTTGGAACACTTTCCCTATGAGGAAAGGTTAAAGTGCTTAGGACTCTTTAGCTTGGAGAAATGACGACTGAGCGGAGACATGATTGAGGTTTATAAGATTATGCATGGGATAGAGCAGGTAGAGAAAGAGGTATTTTTTCTCCCT